TAGGCATTTCATTTCATTTCATTTCATTTCATTTTATTTAAGCATTGTTTTTTAATTTTTTAATTTTTGACATGTTTTTGTGAGATTTACCCAAATTCTTTAACCATGATTATTTATATTATATATATATCAGTGTCAGCAGGCTCGAACACAATGTTCTTCTCCCAATTTGTGATTCTCGAAGGACAACTACAACATGACATGTGCCAAGAGAGTGGGCAGCCATTTCCGGTGTGTTTCCCTCATAGATCACGTGTGTCAGATAGAAGTAGTTTTAACAGCTATGATTTGTCACTGTACAACATGCTGATGAACTGTCCGTTGGGAGTGAATGTGAACGCTCACACGGCAATTAATTTCAGGGCTGAAAATCAGTCATTTAGAAACTGGGCACAGCAAACAACAGCGCACATAACAAGAATTGAGGCGTGAAATGACAGCATGTGGGCTTCTAATGGTGTTCTTCTCCTCCCTTTGGGACTTGAATTCAGCTGTTATCTGTGCTGTCTCTCTGCGTGATAAGCCACTGTTGAGAGAGATCAGTGATGTGCTGTCACAGGCATGAGAAGAATCCTGAGATGCTGAACTGATGGCTGAGCGTTTTTAAGCTATTGTCTGCATAAACGTCCATATTTGAAGGATCTGTACTGTGGGAGACAATGTATTCTAAATATGTTACTACATCCAGGACTGACAAAGTAAAAAAAAATATCTGAAGTGAAGAACAACTGTTCTAAGGAGTATAAAGCTGTAGTCACCCACTATGTCTTCTTAGAGGCACGCAGGGTGAGCATTTAGCTAACTGTAATCTGGCAGAAAGCTTAATACAGCAGCAAGCGATTCTGTGCTATTAAGCTTTTCCTCCATGTTCTGTGCAGCTTTGCTTGCCATTAAAAAGAACATCCATAAATTAGCTCTTTCTATGACCTCATATCAGTCACAGCCAGCCCATTTTCACCTTGTAAATGACCACAATGCAACAACACAAAAAGCAAAAGGGTTTAATCACTTAATTAGATACCGTGACATAACCATCCCTAATTGCTACTTTTTAAAAATATGCTAGGAAACCAAAAAGGATAAAATGTACGCAGAGAGACTTTTATCAAAGACTCTCAATGTCATGGTCACTAAAGCAGCTTCAAAGCACTCTATAGACATTTCAACTGCATTAGTCCGAAAGAAAAGTGTCAACTGACAGTTAATAGGTGAGATCTGAAGACCTTGACACACAGAAAGGCTTGCAACTATAGATAATGTTAATAAAACAACAACAACAACAATAACTAATAACAAACTTTCTTCAGAACTTGAATTTCAAGAGCTAATCACATCAAGCCGCCTCTTGTTATGCAAAGTGTTCTGCACAAAAGTCTGATTGTACACAGAAATATAAAGGTATATGAAATCTAAAATGATGTAGTATATGATCAAATAAGTAAGCCATTCATAGGTTGGTTCCTCTGAAAAATATAAACACTGTGGCTCTTTGGCACTATCAAAATATTGCTGTTCTGTTGTTTTGTTTTGTGAAAGTTTAGAATCCATCCGTTAACATTCCCATCCATTCCGGATGACACAAGACCCCCAAGTACACAGTATGTAATTTAAAATCATTCCATTAGAAGCAGAGATAGAAAAAAAAAACACAAAGTAGACTTCATAACATGCATTATTTTACTGGAAAAGCTATGCAGTCATGTAAACGGAAGGGAGAGAGATAGAAGAAGGTCTGATCCCTAATGGCCTTCCCAGACACTAACAATTCAATTAAATGCACAAGTGTGCAGGTTCTCTTGTATTACTTTCTTCTCTGCATTTTCTCCAGCTGATGTAAGTCTGTACTTTCACATCACTCCTAAGCGCAATAACAGCAGCTCTCAGATTCCAATGTGCAGAAATACCTAAACAATAAACCTATGCAGGATTATTACGGGTAAACCTAAAACATTTCATCCATAAGAGATGTGAATAAAAATAAATCATGTATCTTCTTTTAAAACTTGAGTCCTTTTCTGTCCTTCTGTCTCTTCTATTTGAGTGAAACTGCTTTATCATGATGCTAAAACATTCAGAGGGATACCAGGAGCCAGATTGAAATAACATCCTTAAGAAAACATTCTTCAAAACCACTATTTTCTTCTTATATTCTAACACAGAAAAAAAAAAGAATGTTTTGTATTTCAGAAAAGAATTTAAAAATGTTCTACTTTTAAAAACGTTAAGAAAATATGAGAGTTTCTTAATTATTTTTTAAATAAAAATTCATTAATTGTACTTAGGAACTTTCTTACATGCCAGCAGTAAAGAATTACATTGTTACTATAATATACAGTATATATATATATATATATATATATATATATATACACACAGTGGGTATAGAAAAGAATCACCCCCACCCCCCCTTTTAAAATAATCACATTTTGTTGCTTTGCAGACGGACACAGTTTTTGTTTTATCCAGCTGTATTTACACTGTATTTGTATTTACAGCTGTATTTGTACTGTATTTGTATTTACAGCTGTATTTGTAAACTGTGTAAAGGTGTAGCTAATCACCTTCTCAATGGCACACAAAGCTATTTGAGCTGTGATCAGCTGTGGTCATTTTGATTCGCTCAGCATGAAAAGAGCTTTCCTGGTAGGCCTGTCACGATAACAACTTTTTGTTGTGCGATATATTGCCCCAGAAATAATAGCGATAAGCAATATTATTGTCATTTTAAAGACCATTTTATGCCACTGAATATATAATCATAATGTAACAGCATAATAATGCAAGAAGGCCTAATTCCAGTCCTTGGTAGTGCAACTGAAGCAAACAATCAACTATGGGTGGCAAAGCAGCATTACAATTTTCAACACTAATAATAAAAATACTTTTTTTCTCGAGCACTGAATCAGAATATTTGAATGATCAGATCATGTGACACTGAAGACTGGAATAATGGCTGCTGAAAATTCAGCTTTTGCCATTACAAGATAAATTACAACTTACAAATATAAATTTGAAAAGTTATTTTAAACTGTAATAATATTTCTCACTGAACAGTAGTGTATACATCCTATAATTTATCCCAAGAACTTAAGTGATTCGTATGTTTACGAATATTACGAATATTTAACCAAATAGTGTAAACATACTGGCTCTGCGATGCTATCAAAACATTGCTCTGTTTGTTTGAGTCGCCCAAAGTCTAATTTACCTGGAGAGAGCTAGCTGTTATCATCTGCATGGCAGCTACTCGGCTGATGTATGCAACTTCTAAACTACGCAACTTAGATGTTGGCATCTTTGCTTAATGCTAGTTATACAGCCCTAAAAAACCCTTAAACACAACACACTAATCACACATCAATCTACAGGGGATAAATAGTACACTAGAGTTCAGACTGTACGGCTCATAATTTACATCATCAGCATTCCACAGACTGAACATACCGCTCTGAAGAAAATCTGCCTCCCTTTCCAGACAATCCAAGCATTTAAAAAGCTGGAAGGCCTGCAGCTGCTTAAGGAGAAAGATGTCCACCAGCCTTGTTTGCCATTTAAAAGGTATGGGGGAAATTCACACGCACACAAGTGACTTTTATCATCTCTAAAGAGGCTTTAGAAATGAAAGAACTGAGTGTGAATGCAAAGCTGAGCTGATTTTATTAAACTCAACTTGTCTAGGTGATGTTTATTTCTTTGTGTTGTGTGGCAGGTGCATAACATGGAGTCTGAGCACTAAGGACCTCCATACACTTCCCAAGACGCACTTTAGAGTTACTTACATTTATGGCAGACTGAAATGACCTTACAAAGATACAGGCAGCAAAACCTGAAATAAAGCACAGATACTGAACATTTCAGATCAGTAACAATACGGACTTGTGCTTCTAAGAACCGGCGTTTGAAATGAGAGCTAGCCACTATTGTCACTATTTTTGTTTTGGAAGGCAGCTCGGCAGGTCTTAAAAGCATATGTTCAGATCCTTTAGCCTAGGAACATTCATAATGCAGTATGAAGCAACTATAACACGAGGAATCACGGGGTGGGGGGGTGTAATTCCCTTACTGTAAGCCTCCAGCATTGGGAATATCACAGCATATTTAAATTCCCGGCTGTACGCCAGAGGAGACAAGAATTATTTTTCTCTAGGATTTCTTTTTTCCCCCATCTTCCACCATCATATAAGTTGTCATTCTTTCTTCTATCTCTGATTGCTTTCTCTCCCTGCAGTCTCTATCAATATTTCCTCGCCTTTCCTCATTTCCTCTCATGGTAATTCCTCATTCTTTTTCCACTCTTCACAGCTCTTTACTTAAACTCGTCTCTAACCGAAAGAACAGGTCTATATGCCCGAATCTGCTCGTGCACGAGGTTAAAGCGCGTGAGGAGACCATCTACGAGGCACAATAATAATCTTTTACATTGTAATCCTTTCATTTTTAATATTTGACATGTTTGTGCGCTGCTGCGCATCCCTGTGTGTGTAATAAGCAGAGTGTACGCGTGTTGTGCACCTGCATATAGGCGCATATTACTAACACACTCTTTTTAAATAACAAAAATAAAAAATATTGCCAATATATTATTGGTCAATGGCGCAGTCTATTTCAGTTGCCTCAAAATAGCAATGTGCCAGCAATGCGCCTGAACACACCTCGTTTTCAGACCAGCACGCCCATGGGCGCACAAATGGGCGCAAATGCATTTGCTATTTAAACAACGTGGCGCAGGATGTGAAAATTATAACTGCATTGGGCTGAAAATAGCAAAAAACACTTTCTCAAGCTGAATAACAGAATACACTTTTGCTGAACGTCAGTGCATGTTGTTTATCCATGTTTATTATGTAGTCCTCATTCTCCACCACAGGAAATTAATCTCAGGTGCGTTAAGTAGGCAAACGTATGGTGTTTTTTTTGAGAGGTCTGTATTCTGATGGCTCAGACGGAAGAGAACCATTAGAAACATGAGAGCAGTAGGATGACTGAAGGAGGCCAATTACCTGTTCCTTTGTTCCGGTCCACAAAACAGTATTTGAGCTCGTACTCGCGTAGAATTTCATGGACCTCCTGGGGGGAATGAAAAATAGAGAAAAAGTGAGCAAATTAATGCTACAATGTACTGTATATTTGTTTTTCGTTACACCAATTATATTATTAGCAGTTAGTTCCTCAAATTTGATTGGCTGAGTGTTGTTCTTCTTTCAATTACTGGTAAGTGTCACGGTGCGTGCGGGGAGATGAAGCGAGGACTCAATCGCTGGAGAAATGGTATTTTATTTTAGTAAAAAATGAAACAAAAACAAACTCAAACCACCCCGAGGGGGAAAAACAGACAGGCAGGCTCAAAACTGCACCACATGCAGACACGAAACACACACAATGAAAAATGACGGATCAGCACAGGATGACAGACACAAGGAGAATAAATGGGAACCAAACGAGGAGGCTAACGAGGGAGACACAGGTGGATCAGCTTAAACTATAACGAGGTAACAAGATGGGAGGGGCAAGACAATAGACAGGAGAGAGCACATGGCGACAGACAAACACAACACAAGCCATGTGCTCACAGAACACAGTCATCTGGTGGCCCTCCTGGGCACACCCGCTGCAGACTGCGACAGTAAGTAAATGGAAAACCCGGTGTGGAGCCGGAGCTAAAATTGTGAATAAGCTATACATTACAATAATAGCATAAAATAATCAATACACATTTTTTAATTTAAAAAAACAAACACATCACCAAAATACACTACATACAGTAATATATTAATCCACTGCCTTATTGCACTATAGTCTGTAGCGAGGACTCTTTCTAAAAAGTGGGTCTCTATTGCAGCAGAAATTTAAACAAAATATGACTAAACAAAATATAAATATATAGCCTCATACTAGGGATTTGAAGAGATGCATAACTGGTTTAACAAGGTGTTAACTTTATAGGGCAATCATTTCTCTTGCATGCATATATATTGTATAGAGCTGATGATTTCATTTGTGAGAGGAAAGAATGTTGGCACATTATGTGAGTAATGTCGCAAATTGGCCTCCAGCCATTATTTAGAGAGATTCTGAGACATAAAATGTCTCTTTCAGAAGGGTTTCTTCATTTTCTAAAATCAAATAAAGATGTATAAAAAAAAATTCTGGCGAAACACATAAAAAGAAAAATATCAAAATATCAAATATTCAGTAATACATTCAGTGGGTGATCATCCAGATGCAGTATATAGGGGTTCCATACAAACTTGTTCTTTTATCATTATGAAAATTGATACAACGAAGGTGTGGCCATGAAAATGAAGGTTTCCAACTGCAGCCACACACAGAAACAGAGTGTCCGCTGTTATCCATCAGATAAACACACACATACACTGTCTCATAAATCTCTTCCTCTTCCCTTTTATGCACACAGCAGGCCCTGCTGTCACATCCCGAAAATGTGTTAACAGAGATAAACCAGAGGTGCCCACACTGGCTTTGTGTTTTCTCTAGCTGGTCATAAGGAACATCCAGAAGGACACACTTGATTATGACAAAGGGACTTCTGGATTCAGCAGGGGACATGGCATACTGCAACAGCGTGGAGCTGTTAATGTGTGCTGTGCTGGGTTACTGTTCACTGTGAGATGTACTTGCTTGTAATGCCGGCGGTCCGAATTATGATTTTGCTGAGGACTTTAAATTGCGTTTTTGGTGATGTAAAATGAATCCACATCAACTGAGCAGTTTAATATATGTCTTCTGAAGAGACATGACAGGTTGATATGATGAATAGATTTAATTTAGGCTATTATTCACACATAAACACTAATCAATACACATCAAATATGGCAAACAGAAGCTCAAACGTGCTTGTCAAGGACAAACCTCATTGGTTCTTGCACGACAAACAAGAGCTTCTGTTTACCATATTTGATGTGCTCTATTTGCATTGGGCTAATCAATGTTTATATGTGAATAAAAACTACAAAAGGCCACTCGATTCATATAAATTACGTTTACAATACTTACTTTTAAGAATTTTTTGAATTGTCAAAGATTTGTTTACATGGACTTTCAATGGAGGGATAGAAAACTCAGTTACACTTTATTTTACTGTGTGTGTACTTATAAATTAAATTTTATTAATCAAAAAACATGTCTAATTAATTGAAATCGTGAAATGTACACAATTTAATGGCAATTAATTACAAGTATAACAAAAAGTACATTTTTAAGGCCGTATGAATTATTTTTATTTTTTTGTCAAATTCAGTTTCATTTTTACCAAATTCTGTGTTTTCCATTAATTTTCTGGATTCCTAATTCATTTATTTATTCAGAAATACTGTGTTGTGTTGTGTATTTACATTTTTCTGTTAAATAAATTCTGGTAACACTTTCTATGAAGACCATGCGTATAATGAATTATAGCCCCATTTATACGTACTTATTTATAAGTATTACTATTCTATAAATATATTTATACAGACTCATTAAGACCTATGCTGTGTTATAAGAACAGTTATAATTACGTTTATATTATTTTTGTAATTACTTATAAGGCATGCATTTTCTTCTTCAGTGTGCATGCTCATAATCCATTATACACTGGCTTATAAATGATCAAATATAAAACATTTCCAGAGACACTTGTTTGTTGTATCAATTAGTTATTATGTCTTTAATGGATAATGTTTGCATTAGAGGTAATGAATGGTAATTTTGATTTGTTGAAATCTATATCTCCTCAGCCATATGCATGGTATTGCTTATAGCAGTTTGGAATTAAGCTTTATAATATCGTTGCAGTGTTTTGCTAGTATGTAACATTTAAAAAAGTTTTTTTAACTGTTTGTACTAATGATTTCTGTTTTAATCTTCATTATTTTATTACAGGAATTATTGTTTATTAGTTACATATACAAGTAAACAACTTAAACTGATAATGAGCACATCTTCATGGTTTCTTAACATTTGCTTTAAGAAAATTGCATCCTATGTTTTCACTTTACTTAAAGCCATCAATGATTCATTTATATAGGTTAGTAACTAGTAGTACTCACAATAAGCATTTATATCAACACAGATGCAGTATAGGTCTTAATGAGTCTTTATAAATATGTTTATAAAATTGTAATACTTACTTATAAATAAGTATAAATGGAGCTATAATTCATTATAAGCATGGTCTTCATAGAAAGTGTTACCATTCCTTTAAAAAAATAAAGTTTTAATAATAATGTTTTAATAATTAATTATAATTATTACTAGTAGTATGATTACATTAAGTAATATATTTCTGTCACAGTTTTTCTGTCAAGTTAAATCAAACTTTTATTTTGACGGGTTGCTGTGAAGACCTTTTCTGTTTTTATATGATATGACGACAAAAAAAACTAAAATGCTCATGAAGTGACTCTCAGAGCAGTTCTAGAGATTATATTATACTTATATATTGAGGCGGCAGAGGCTGAAAACACAGTGAGTGTCACGCGCGCTTCAGTATGTGTGCCATTCATTCTCGCAGAACATGCAGGATTCATATTTAAATAGTATTTTTGTGGTTTAATATTCACAGACACTAGTCCATGTCACATTTTGATTTAAGTGTACTGACCTACTTTTGATTTATCCATACAAATTTTGGCAAATTCTGTGACATTCGGCGTTATACAGTAAATTCCGTTTTTAATAACTGGATTCCGCGATTCCATCCGCGTTTTCCACATCATAGGGCCCTATTTAGGGTTAGGGTTAGTACCTAGTTATTACCCAGTTATTGCAAATGTTAAAATAAGCACATAGTATGTACACGCGGAACAGGACTGTAAAATAAAGTGCTACCGAAATCTCTCAGGTTTCATTAAAAATATCTTCATTGGTGTTTCGAAGATAAACAAAATATATTTGGGTTTGGAACAACATGAGGGTAAATTATGTAAATGATGACAATTTTCATATGGGTGAACTAACTCTTAATAATACTTTTATGGTTTTGTTTATTGTTAAGGAGACTGACAGATCCTTGTTCATTGCATTTCACTGCATGGACAACAGTAGTTTGGATATTGTTCAAGACTTCTATTTTTGTGCTCCACAGAAGAAAAAATGCAATGGACCCTTTTCTCAGATTCTGATTACAAATTTCATTTTATATTCACATTAATTACATTTACATTATTTGCATTTTAGATTTACATTAGAAAATGTATGTACATTTATAACACTATACTTTGCCTTATATTACCTTTGCATCAAATTACGAAAAACTAGTTAATGCTGCTGTGAGGGTGTTTCTAATACAGCAGCTGTGGGAGTGACGGTAAATTTGGCATCATTCTCTCTTCTGACTGCAGTTATCAATCACTCTCTATTTTTTCCTCTTTTTGAAAGTCGTGAAAACACTATCAAGGAGTTTATATATATATATATATATATATATATATGCAGTCTCCCACTGACCTCTATAGAAGTTCACCCAACTATGATGACTTCTGCTGCTAAAAAAACCCGGAAATGTGAAAAGGGTCCATACAGGTTTGGAACGACATGATTGTGAGTAAATGATGAAAGAATTAGACAGATGTGAGTATTTGAGGTAACTTAATAGTCATATCCGTCAAACTATAAACACATTCATCTCTTTCAATATGTATGAAAACCAAATAAAATTGAGCAGACAGCACTGACATGTATTCTAATCTGCTATATACAGTACATAAAATGCTTTTTTTTTTCAACTTCACATTCTGTACAGTCCTTTGCAGTAGACTGTCTAATTCACTTTCTTTGCCATTTCAAAGAGCAGTGCACTCCCTCCCTCTGCCTCTAATTAGAGTCAACAAGACACCTTCCACACAAGTCTGCCTCACTTATGGCTTTCTCTTAACACAGCGCATTACACATGCATTGTAATGGCCCATAAAAGGCCAGAAAGCCTGAGTGAGCATCTACATACTATTAGATATGGATTACACTGTCAGGACCAGCATCGGCCAGCTATGATTCAACTAAACATCTGGGACAGTTGAAGGCTAACAGAAGGGAGGGGGGTTACTGCCCTTGATTAATGTCTCTGCGTCTGTTCACCAATGAAACACAGGTCATGCTGCATGTGACTTATTCAAATGCTTTACAGACTGTCTGTGTTAACAAGGGGATTTAAAACTAAAAGACGGAAGTTAAAACTAAATGAGAGAGCAATTTATCAGAGTGAGAGTATAAATATGCTCACTTGTTAATAATTTTGTACTGCTGAGAACTCAGACGCTTTGTCTCTAAGATAAGATGTGTAATGTTGTCTGAATGTGTTGTTGGCCTGTGACACTGATGAAAGCTGCTACCTACTATATATCACTACACAACACACAATTTTCACTACACTTTTTTTTTTATTATTATTATTTTTTATTCTGCAATGTGCAGAAAATGCTAATTGTGCATTTGTCATTTTCACTCTAGTGATCATCTTTCACTATGCTCCACGCCCTTGGTTACTGTTGCTAGGTAGGACAAGCTTTTCTACTTAGCCTGGTTCCGGGCACTGTCAAACATGAATGGAGAACTAACAGGATTGTGTGCAATACCTCAGGAATTATGAAAAACGTCTAGTTTATGTGTGCATTTAGTTCCAGTAATTATAATTAGTCACTGATTTCAAGTAGTATATAATATTTCTACAGTATACTCACTATGGTACTGTACATTTCTTAGTTATTTTTCTACTATGACCTTGTAGAGAATGAATTAACATTAAGCTAGTAACATTTTTGTTATTTAAATATTGTACTACATTTCAGGATTTAAAACTATCAAAAAAACAGGAATTCACTGTGGAATTCCACATATAGGAATTCCACAGGACTTACATTTTACATATATATCCTAAATCACACATACATGACATAGGCATTAAATAATAATAAAAAAAATAAATAAATAAAACAAACATCTGGGTATCCCTGCAGTATATCGACACCAGCATGCAGCATGTGTAAAATCAATTGCTTTTTTAATGGCAGCTCACACTGATGCTCACTGATTTAGGGATACAGTCTACTTTCACTGTATTTTAGATGGGGACTCTGGACAGACTGCTGTCTCACACTCCAACAGACAAATTAAGGGTTCGTGCACACAGGAAGGTCAGATATTGGGGTGAAACACACTGACACAGATATAGAGCACGATATAAAGCTTGATTTGCTCTGTGGTGACCAGAGTCAATAGCCAAGGTGACACGAGTTTAAAAGCGCTATATAAATAAAGGTGACGAGGTCAGGACAGAACAGAGAGGAATCGAAACCAGATAGAAACTAATCTTCAAAAGGAAGGGGACGGAAAACAATTTATTCTAGCTAGCAACATTAGGTAAACAGTATGCAATGACCTCTAAGGCTACGTTCACACTGCAGGAAAATGCAGCCCAAATCTGATTTTTTTTTTGCTCACATGTGACTCAGATCTGTTTTTCTCATGACAGTGTGGACAGCACAAACCACATGGAATCTGATCTTTTCTATTCTGATTTGTGCCACTTCCATATGTGGTACGAAATCCGATAAAGGTCAGATGTTTTGCAATGCGACCGCAGTGTGAACGGTCATATTGGAATTCATGCGACTTTTACGTCACTCAAGATCAACATTCGTCACGATTCTGCGCTCATGGGAGTCACTTTAAAGATTTTACATACCCAAAGCTATCAAGACAGTTGCGAAAGGTAGTCAGTGGAAGTACTGTACAGTGACGTGTCAGAAATCGTAAGTATTGCTGTGACAACTCTATATACAAGCAAAACATGAGGGCTCGTATCATAAAAGATTCAAAACTCTGCTCTCTTCTGTCACATCCTTGTCTTTATTTTTCATACTGCCTGTGCATAATTTTACTGTCTTCTGCGGCAGATCACACTATAAATTAATGCATAATCGCTTACTTTATGTCCTTCGTGTTTACGTCAGTATGACAGCCTGCTGCGCAAGTGTTGCCTAGTCCACAGTTTTCCCGTGGAATTGGGCTACTTTTTCATCGTTGCCGCAGGTTGTTTTTTAACTCTGTGGGTTAAAGTGACCGCACTAACGCGATATATAACCCCCAGAACGCGATTGGGCTAGTTTTGAACTCGTTTTGAGAAGCAATTGGGCGGATTTTGTTGTGAAAACCTGGCAACCCTGTTCGTATTGTTCTTTGCGCATGCGGGTCAGTTCAGAACCATGATCTGTTCACACTGGAAATCTGATATTGGCCACATTTAAAACAACAATGTGAACAGCTATGCAAAAAAAAAAATCGGATCTGAGCAAAAATCAGAATTGAGCTTTTTTTTACGTTTTTGAATCATTTTCTGAACCACATATGTTTGTTGACCAAAAAGTTATAAAGTGAAAGACGTGACATGTGGCCAAGTATGGTGACCCATACTCGGAATTAGTGCTCTGCATTTACCCATCCCACACACCCACACACACAGCAGTGAACACACACACCGTGAACACACACCCGGAGCAGTGGGCAGCCATTTTTGCTGCGGCGCCTGGGGAGCAGTTGGGGGTTCGGTGCCTTGCTCAAGGGCACCTCAGTCGTGGTATTGAAGGTGGGAGAGAGCGCTGTACATTCAGGGGGGCGTGGCAGAGTCTTAACTTTGATAAAGAATATCTCTTTGGTTTTGAGACTTTAGTCTTTGCAACTTCAGGGATCTTATCTATGCACAATCAGCTTGTAACACTCCAAAGAGAAAGGAAAACTTGAAATCGCATCATATGACCCCTTTAATATAACAGATCATTAATACAATATAATGATGAAATTTTTTGCTTATATCGCCCACCCCATCTGTAAGTGTGAATGTTGTGTTGTGTATTCAGAAAGAACACACACTTGCCAGCAGAAAACAGTGTAAAGAAATACTCTTTGAGAGAAACAGTCGTTGAATATGAAAATCTCCCACTCAGAGTTCAGCTCACCGTTGTGCTGTTCTCCCTGCCTGAACGCCCTCAGCCGGATCTCAGTCAGTCTGTCTGTCTTCATGAGCAAACATGCCTCCAGACAGCATCCAACCACAACCAGGCAAATAGATAAGAGCCGCCGAGTGAAGAAAACATTACGCAAACAAGCCGTGCTCTTAATTAAATATAATTAGAGTTATAATAAGGAAGGATTAACAAAGTATAACAAAACAAAAAATACAACTAAAACAAAATAAAACCTACTTGGGTTTATTAAAATGAAACTCGTTGCGTTTTTTTAGTGAGTGTTAACATACTCAATTCATTTCGAAAAAAGTCTAGTATATCACCAGGCAGCTCCACGGAACATATGTTAGGCTGCATATTGGTTAATGGACGAGTTTTGGGAGTCGCATTTATGAGGTTGTGGGGGTACATAAGACGGAAAGGTTGATAGACGCTGAACTCGGCAGACAGAGACGGTGAGCGGCTCGTTTTCAGCGGAACTCTGCTGTACAGAGGGAGCGCGCGTTGCGTTCAACTAAAGATGCCGTCGGGCTGTTATTTTACTGCATATTTTCCGCTTATTTGTTTTCGTTTCATTTCAGCGGTGTTTTACAATAGAAATTTGGTGCCGTTTTAAAGCAGACAACGTTTTGAGTCGCGCGCAAACAGCTGTAACTTACAGGTTTTCCCGATGATGGACGTAAAGGTTGCAGCACTGATCTAATTAAGGTCACTTAAATTGAACTGTTTACGTTTACTTAGGCGATACCCAATATCCGTATTTCAATAAATGTTTTAATTTAACTTTTTTGTAACTTATGTGTGTTTGCCATTTTATTTATTTATTTTGGCTGAAAAACATATTCATCGTAGCGGTGGTGCGCTTAACTGTCTGTTATGTTACATGCAAACTCATGGAATAATAAAACTCGTTTATGTATCTTAACTAACAAACTAACAACCGCACTTAAAATGATAAGAAAAGCTACTGAAAAACCCTTTTGTCCCATGAACTAGTGAGCAGTGTAACTTTCACCTGTCAGGCTGGTGTATGTAAATCTCTCTACCTGGTTGGTTGTATCCTGTGGCAGGTTCTTAATAAGGATCTTCCTCCTGTTGCTCAGCTCTCTGCGAGTTTTCTCCAGCCGTTTCTCGATTTCCTCGGGATCAAGTTCCGGTAGATCTCTGAGGATGGTGAGCCCCTCGGATGCTGCGTCCTCGTCCTGTCGGCTCACGGGGCTGTCGGACTCCGGGTGAGGTGAATTTTCCCGCTTTATCGCGTGCACGCTCGGCGGCTGGATGGATGAAGCGGCCGCCATCTTGAAGCGCTCGGTGGAAAGTGAGTCGGAGAGAGCGGATAGGTGGGCGTCTGTGCTTTGAGTCAAACGCATCGACGGCACTCTTGAAAGTAAGTGTGAATGAGCCCCAGCACAGTACAACTGGCGACCTCCACCGATGGAAAACTAAACACATTCTGACTATTAGTCTCTTTTCCCATTCTTAACAGGACAGTATAATATTAAAAAAATAATAATAATAACAATCTCATATAAATTTACGAAAGCAACAATAAATAACAATAAAACAGCTCTATAACAGTCTGTGATAATGATAGTTCTAGTAAGCAGATCTTTTGTGATTAAATATATTTATTAAAACATTAAGCAATATTTACGTAGGCTATAGCCTAGTATTTATTTATGCAAATAATTCAAAGGACAGGTAAGTGGTGTTATGAAATTTCAGCAAAATTCGTTGTCAAAAAAAAGAAGAGAAAGGTCCATTGTTTATTGTCAATAGCATAACAATAATTAGGCACTGTCACAAATACCTTTGTTCGGCAAATTTTTGCAGGCACAATCCAGCTTCTTCAGTAGGAATCCACACGACTGGGAATTGTGTGTGAGGACGAAAGATTTCCCCAAGCCGATTTCACAACTGGTTCAGGTTGAACTGGTTCAAGTTGGTAACTCAATTCACCGCATTGACGAATTGATATATCGCTACAAAACTTCACAAAATTTCGATAATGCACTTTAAAGCACAGCTCACACAAAAGTCACTTTCAACACAAACAGCTTTCTTTTGGTCAGCACTGCACTGTAAAAAAAATTCCGTAAAATTTACGGTAGAAAACCGGCAGCTGTGGTTGCCGGAATTTTACCGTAAAAAATACGGTAGCAACGTTTTAGGTTTTACGGTTGTAACTTAAATTTACAGTTAAATACCGTAATTTCATTAACTGATATAATGTTAATATACCAACCTATTGAAGTACTGAAATCTGTTTTGTACCTTTGTAATACACTGATAACCACCAAATGCAGGTGGTGATGAGAAAGTCACATGATGAACCAAAGCCCATTACAAGCAGCTTTTAAATAATAACATATATAGAAGGTGCTCAGTGTCATTCACACAAACGCTAAACACTGAAATAATGCAATAAACATTCATTTAACAACATTAGGTGTAACGCACAACGCTAATATACAAAACTGATAAGAAAAAACTAAGAAACATAGTTATTTCAACAAAAGAACATCAAATTTGAAATGTAACGCAGGGAATTCTGGGAATGTCAATTTACGGTTATTCACTGTAAATTATACGCTTTTTCACTTTTTCACTTCCAAATACGGTATACTACCGTAAAATTAATGTCCAATACATGTAATGTCCAATACAGTTTTTCACCGTATATAGTAGGGGAATTTACCGTTAACCATTTAACAGGATTTTACTGTAGCATTTTTACAGTCTTTTACCGTTAAATTCACGGTCATTTTTTACAGTGTGCGAATCCGTGTGACAAACTTGAATATGAGCAAAATCTGCATGGGAAACTTTTTCGCCCACACGCAAAACTGCAAGTCGAGTGAATTCATATTAATATGACTGGATTTCACCTGCAAGATTTTGCCGAGCAATGGTAAATGTGACGGAAAAATAGTAAAAATAGCATTATCGATTTCCAAATCAGCGTTCCAACTTTTCACAATTCGTATAACACTGCTTGTGTTTTCTGATCCAGACAGGCTGTCGTCAGTCTGTTCAGTAGTGGCGATTTTTCAGTGACTTTCTGTTGTTACATCGTTACACCAGTAGGTGGCGACAAGTGACTGTTTATTGAATCATTCACTCAACCGATTTGCTGATTAGTTAACTAAAACACCACTGCTGTGTGTTGCTCAGAGATGCACAACATTTTTCCTGCTTTGACTGCATTCGGAACTATTTTCGTGATGGAGCAAACATTGTAACTGCCAATAATGTGTCTAAAAACTTATGCTTTACGTTTTAAACTAATTGTTTGTTAAGTGACTGCATGAAAGCTTAAATAAACTGTATGGACAAGCTGACATTTATAGCCCAGAAATCATTTAGTCTGTATACTTGGAGAGATTGTGTATGGCAGAAACATCTGAAGGCATGCCTGACAGATCTTTTGACTCATTATACACTGGCTATGGTGTGGAATGAATGACTTATGCCGTCGCTTGTGGGTGTGCTAAATGCCATCTCCTGGCAGACTCCATCACAGGAGTCCTTATAATATCCCTGAATGAACGCTTTCAGTTTCAGCAGCTACACATCCCACATCAACAATATTTACAGATGATCGCATTTGACTCTTTAAGAATGGGGATTGCACATTTTTTTCTGTTTTTGGATTTTTTCCCGACAAGAATAATTGTAACAATCACAGTAATAATAATAATAATAATAATAATAATATCATCATTACATTATAATGTAGCGTAAGATTTTCTGTGCAATTTTGGAGGTGGCGGTTTAAAAAAAAACAAAAACGAAAATGTAAAATATAGCAACGTAAACCATCACGGCAATGCTTTATAAATTCGAATGTCAGTTAATTGCAGTGCTCAGATTAATGAATCCATCATTGCACACGGATGATTTTCCACCATCACTACATGGGAAGTTCCAGATAGACAATTACATATACCATATGCGTTCATTTGAATTACCTGAACATGAACTAAAGCGGTGATTCAGCGCGTCTCTGAGTGGGAGTGAGAGAAAAGACCAGAATATTTCAATGGCTCACAAAAGTAGCGCGTGGGCGCTCGATCGAGTGCTGGAGCGGGCAGAGCGGGCAGAGCGCGCATCTGGGACGCGCGTGTTTATGTAAAGAGGTGATGGGAACCTTGAACTCCTCACCGCGAGCAGCGCTGAGTGCGTATAGTGTGCGTGGGCGGCGGTATCCGAGTCATTATGTGTGTGTGTGTGTGTGTGTGTGTGTGTGTGTGTGTGTGTTGTCCCAATTAAGCATCGTGAATCCACTGGCAATTCATTCATTTAAGCGTAACTGTCTTATTTCGCAACTGATGCATAGGCCTACATATGAATGAGAGGTAACACTGTAAACCCTGTAACAGAAGAACGAGAACAATAAGTAATTAAACTGAGCGATTTGCACATTTCACAGGATACGTTTGCCTTGCAGTAATGACAGAATGAGAGAAATTTGAGAAGCTGCGAACTTGAGCAACTGGTTCTCTCTAAAGCTTCGACTAGCGATGTCCGATTCGTAAACGAATGATTCTTTCAAATCGAATGATTTTCAATGAGTTAAACTGGTTCATAAAACGAGTCTAAACGAATCGCACTGAATCGGTCCGAATCAACCGGAGTCTTAAAGGGGTCATATGATGCGATTTCATTTTTTCCTTTCTCTTTAGAGTGTTACAAGCTCTTGGTGCATAAAGAAGATCTGTAAAGTTGCAAAGACTAAAGTCTCAAATCCAAAGAGATATTCTTTATGATTTTAGTTCGTTTTAATAAATTGCGTAATTCAGCCGTAAAGTAAACAATATTGTTAAATATAAGTTCTAAATGATTTTGTTTTGCAGTGCAAATCATGGGAGAAAGAAACTGAACACATGAAATTACAATAAACACCGTTATGAAATAACCGAAATGAAAAGGAAAAATAATAAAATATGCTTATATATGGCACATTGGAACATTTTTAAAGCACGTAATATGCCATCCCGGGTGACTACATGTGATGGCGTGTTTTATGTCAGGACAGGACGTAAAGTATAGATGAATCATTTTTTGAACCGGTTCTTTGAAACAAACTGTTCAAAAGAACCGATTCGCAAAAATAATGCTGTCTCTCCCATGGTCCCAATTTAACAGAAGTGCTCCACTTTTCTGCCTACCCGACTGTGTGTTCACACCTCGTGTTCGGGTTAAAATTATCCACCAAGGATGAGCGGTATAACACCTTAATGATCTCTTATGCAGCGCGCGAGGAATGCCCTGCACGTTACATGAACTTATTTGCCCGTTATGCGGGTGACCGCAACAAAAACCGTAAATGTAGGTCAGTAATGGACTGATGATGTCATAATGGAGTAGGCTTATATAATCCTACCCCATAAATCCCAGTGTTTTGCTTCATTTACACTGACAACCTATGCATTGATATTTAAAAAAAAAAAATGAAAAGGAGTCACCACATCAACCTGAAAAATGTGAAATTTTATTTGCGGGATATACTTAAAAGAAATATACCATAGAGAAATAATGGCATGAGAGAAAGTCGTAATGTCGTTAACTAATTGACTACTAATATTTAGAAGACATCGGGGCTCACACGGGGAAGGTAAAATTTGGGATATTTTTCAGTAACTATAAGGTCAAAAGTCAAGTTACACACATACAGTTGGTTTGAAACTAGCTCAAAACATTTTATTTTAGCTGAAAAGCCTTTAATAGACAGATTTCCCCTTACACCATATAATGGGCAAAATTCAACGTGTTTATTCAACTCTTATCTTTATACTTTGGCAATAACATTGGAAATGTTCAGTGTCCAAGGCTTCAAGGCATGTGCCTTCACAGAAGTTAATTTATTCAGTATCCCCACCCAGAAAAATATTCACTGGAGTAAAAAGTGTGACAACTAGCCCACAATCCTCTTGGGGTGGGTGAATTATGAGCTGACTCTCAAATCTCTAAGTATTGAAATGACTTGTTCTGTAAAACATTTTAATGCACAAAAATATTAAATATTTTTATATGATGTTAAATGCATGTATAAACACAAATACCAAATTCTGTGCAATTATCGCTTATGTTGGAATCACAGCAGATCCCATATAATGACCAGACTGATCGCAGTCACAAAGTGGAACAATTTATCACATTCACCCTGCAATAGATCTGAATATCAACTTTAAAGTGTTATATGACCAAAATAAGAATGATAGCTGCACAGGGACTGAACTTTAAGCACATAAAATATGATTCATAGATGTGATTCAGCAGTCTCTAAGGTATACTTGCTTAAAACTGTCACTGTAACAGATTGAGGCTGAAATTTCACAGGGACATGCCTGGACAGAACTAATGTACCAGACTTCTGTATCATAATGTGTGAAAAGTTGTTTTGCTCATGTGTTAGATCATTTAAGATCACGTGACTCATGATTTTGGGCATGATTTCTTATCACAGATAAATTAAAACCATAATCAAACTATTCATTAGCTTCCCCCCCCCCACCCAAATTTCAATGTAATTTAAGAGCATATGCAGAAAAACTCAATAATCACTGACAAAATAAAACACTTCTGACGAGGATAAAAGGTTTGTAGTGTATGACACATTTATAGCTACTTCGTTCAACTTTAGATGTATATACACGGTATATCATTTCATTCTGAAAACAATAGACACAATCCCTCTAAAATCATAGGAGCACATTGTCTACATATCAGTAGACAAGCAGTTGAGTAAAAGTGCACATGGGTTTAGAAGGATCTGAAAAATTTTATGGCATTCCATCAATACTGACTAATGACTTAAAAAAAAATGACAACATTATTGGAGACAATCCATCTGCGCCATCACACATCCACCACATTCACACACATTTATGTACACAAGCACCAACACATGCACAATCGGTTTCTCTCTCTCTCTCTCTCGTACACCAAATGTAAAATAATCGGGCAGACAGAAATACAACGAGAGCTTATACACACAGTGGCAGAACTGAGCACAGTCTCTCTCCCAGTCATCTTTAAAATATTTCAAATATCCCGCACTGGATTTGTGGCCCAGAACACCTTGGTCACATTGCACAGTGTCTTGAGATTCACCATCATCTCACACCGTCAAAAAAAACAAACCAGTGAGTGACAGCTCCTCAGAATACGCCACATTTTCACATCTCATTGATGTGCAGCGCAGGCATTTGTGTCTATCGTTCCTTGAAATGTGTTGTTTACTCTCCCCACAAGAAATTCTCATGGCATGCGGATGACTCAACTGTGCCATGAATCGAATCCTTCAAGGCTGCTTCGCAGTCTAGTCGAGGAGAAAACCTGGGCCAGGTCCTAAAATGGGCTCTATAGGCCTAATAGAAAGCTGACAAATTCAGTCAGTCAGTTAATTTCCTTTTTTCCCCAATCATTATCTCCATCTCCACTCCTGTTAAATAAATAGTAGAAAAATAATCCTTTCATCTTCATTGTTTCTTGGAGAAAAAAAAACATAAGGAGCTTTGTATTGTATGAACCTGCCAAATGCACTCCTTAATGACCTCTACAGAGGTCAAATGTTCGCCCCCATGGTCGACAAGCACACAACACCTCTGACCGCCATCAGCAGATGCCTAGGGAGAGTTGGGAGTTAAGGTTCTCTCCTTGGTTTTGGAGGATGCAGGGCCTGAATGGAGGTGGTGGCTGAAGTTAGAAGTGGCATCAAAGGCAGGGTTGGCGGTTGGTTTGGGGTCAGGGGTGGGCAGGATCAGCACTCGGCATCCACACTGTGCACGGTGACGGCGCCCTGGAGATGATGCGTGTGCAAGTGCAGGGGGTGGTGTGTGTGGGGGTGCCGATAGGGGTGGAACTTGTGGCTGAGAAGAGCAGCTGTCTGTGGAGGCGTGTCCAGGTCGAGGTCCTCGTCGTGATTGCCCACATCAACGCCCGCAGAGAGAGGATCATTGTTGCAGGGCGGGTTCTCGCTGTCCTCCTGAGGGCTCATGGTGCTGTAACCTACATATAAATAGACAAGGAATCCCAATCAATATTTTCGGAAGCTACAGTATAATTTATCATTTAATTTAATTACAATATTTAATTATTTAATTTAATTTAATTATACAGTATAAATTAACTGTGAATCTTAAATGTTCTACGAGTGTAGCTAACAGCTTTTTGTATCTCTAAAACAACAGCTGAAGAGAAATTTTCAACTGAGAATGAAAATTTGAACCTAGTTATATCTCTGTAATTTTGTAATTATCGCTTATGGAAACTAGTTACAAACATGATCATTTAAGTTGCTCATTAAACTAATCATCCTAATGAATCCTAATCCATTCTAATCTCACACTCCTCACATAAAACCCAAAGATATTAAAGGAACATATTAATCTCATTTTGTACTAATCTGACAAACTCGTGATAGCATAATGTGACATGATGCCAAGCAGTAAGAGCAGTTTTGAATTGCAATAAAACTATTTGACCATTTCTAAAGAATTCAAAATATAGTAAAAACAGTTTAAAAATGTAGTATAACTGTTTTTATTTTAATTAATTTTAAAATGTAATTTATTCCTATGATAGAAAAGCTGAATTTTCAGCAGCCATTACTCTAGTATTCAGTGTCAAATGATCCTTCAGAAATTATTCTAATATGCTGCTTTAGTATTCAAGAAAGATTTTTGGTTACACTTTACTTGAAGGGGTGTGCATAAGACTGACATGACACCTTCATAATCATGACATGACAACTACATAATCATGACATGACACATGTCATGAATAGGAAGGTTTTTTATGCATGTTTATGACAACTGTCATACTAATCATCCTAATGAATCCAAATCCATTCTAATCTCACACTCCTCACATAAAACCCAAAGATATTAAAGGAACATATTAATCTCATTTTGTACTAATCTGACAAACTCGTGATAGCATAATGTGACATGATGCCAAGCAGTAAGAGCAGTTTTGAATTGCAATAAAACTATTTGACCATTTCTAAAGAAAATATATTGTGTGGGAATTTTTGTAAAAATTTTATATATATATACATACATACATATATACATACATACATACACCCCTGCCAAATAAAGTATTCATTTATTTAAGAAAAAAATCTTACTGCCCACAAACTTTTTAACAGCAGTGTACAGAATCCTAATAAAAACATAATATGTAAATATATTGAAAATAATACAGATCAGGGATACAAATAAAAATGTTATAATCAGTGCAATGCAAAATTATAATTATAAAAACAGCTATTTGTTATAAATGTATTCATATAGTAGCAGTAATGATTATAATAATTATGAAGTTGTGGAAGTTGCAGAGGAATGGCAATAGTGCAAAGTAGTGTTCATATTATCAGTTTGTCTCATTGCAACAGTTCTGGATTGGGGAACAATGCCTTGACGCCTACTTCCAACTACACCTATTATACAGTTTTAAACATACAGACTTTATATTGAGACTACATAGAATATTTCTACTTTCAAAACTGGATGCCTCAAACTGAAAAGAAAAAAAAAGTGATTTCAAAATTTCGTTAAATGTTGATGAGTTATCATCTGAAATATACAACTTCCTTTATACATAAATTTGAGCTTAAAATCTTGTTGAAAGAAGAAGCTGATGTCAATGTTATTGTTATCTACCCAAATCTATTTTCCCGTCAAACTGCTGATGTTCCTGTTTAGACAACAATACAAAAGACACATGAAGCAGCTGAAGTGAATAATAGATTAGACAGTTGCTAACAACTAAACTTGTACAGTGGGAGAGGAGCTCACAATGCATACAAAAAACAAACAGTTGGAAACTTAACATAATAACAGTCACAGCACATTCTGAATTAAATTAAGGCCCAAAGAGAGCACAAAAAAGGTCTTGTCCTGCTGTCAGATGGCCAAACGTCCAGCCACATGTGACATCTGAAATGGGATCGGAGGTGAAAAGAAAGGTCAAAAACCTCTTATGATCCTGACTTTGATCAATGTTTGCATGAGCCGTCTCAGAACAGATCTGGAATCAGCTTTGAAACTCTTCAGTGAGAATGAAAGAGCTGGGATACCAATTCTGGATCAGGATCTATCCCTAAACATATCAAAGAGCCAAGCAAGCAAACAAGTACTAAAAAGCATCCCAGTTCCTGGCAGAAAACACATTTCTGTTTAGAGAAATTCTTTAAGCCTCGATCTGAAGCGAATACTCCTATATCTACGTTGCTCCTGGCGAAAAATCTCTGTGTTGGTGGAACGGTAATGAGTCAGAGCACACAGGAAAAGGTTTTGGTGCTGTTCTCCTGCATACACACGCTCAAAAGCCAAATCGATATTGCTTTAAAACGACCCCTTAAGCTGGATGACTGAGCAGCCGGTGGGAGGCGAACTTTAACCCTGCCAAATCAAAATACAGGGAAGAAACTTTTGTACTTGGTCTTTGCCACCTCTAACTGTTCTCGCATCTCTCAATCTACCCACTTTGCTGGCTTTCTTCCTCCAGGTCTTTTGCACTTTTGTCATTGCACCTCTCCTTGTGGAATAGGGCTGCCCTTTCTCCTCTTGCTGGTTACACAATGATCTCCAGAAAGCCTCGTCCCTGAGGGGCGGCAGATTTAGCATGCACTGAAGACTCCATGTAACCCAAGCCTGGAGCCGCCAATGAAATAGAGGCCGAACACAAGCATACACTGAACTCCCTGGCTTTGCTTTATTTCAATAATAAAACTCTCACTATATTCTTAGGTGAGAAATTTGATGGTCACGCCTTTGAATTTTTCCTTGACCCTTATTTCAAAAGGATCTTTTCAGACCTACTAATATCGTTTTTCCTTTAGACTTTGAGGAAGGAGTGCACATACACACACATACACACTCTTACCATGGTCACTTTCGGTCCCAGACCGCCCCCAGTATCTCCGTCGTCGTTCTGGGCTGTGTGTGTGCCTCTCAATAACAGCAGCAATGAATCGAGTGTTACTAACTGCAGAGAGAGAGAGAGAGAGAGAGAGAGAGAGAGAGAGAGAAACAGAGCCAAATGGTCATATAACAATAAAACACTTGGGTCTCCAGCTGGCCAGCATAGTGTACGAGTACAGCAAATTTAAAAGGCAATAACATACTTGTAGATACTTCTCATATAAAAGGTTATACTGGGGATGAACTCAGTAAACAATGAGGAAAAATACAAAAAGATGTCTTCCAAAAGACTTTCAAAGCACCATATCACACTCTTGTGTGTGTATATATATATGTGACCCTGGACCACAAAACCAGTCATAAGGGTCAATTTTTCGAAATTGAGATTATACATCATCTGAAAACTGAATAAATAAGCTTTCCATTGATGCATGGTTTGTAGATACAACTATTTGAATATCTGGAATCTGAGGGTGCAAAAAAATCTAAATATTGAGAAAATCGCCTTTAAAGTTGTCCAAATTAAGTTCTTAGCAATGCATATTGCTAATCAAAAATTAAGTTTGAATAAATTTACAGTAGGAAATTTACAAAATATCTTCATGGAACATGATCTTTACTTAATATCATGATTTTTCAATCAATTTTCAATCAATCAAATCAATCATTTTGACCCATTCATTTTGTGGTCCAGGGTCACATATGTATGTTAATTGCATAACTTCCTGGGCTTCCTGGGATTACTTCTGTCCTCTGTAGAATACATTATATTTTAGCAAATTTCTCTGAGACCATACATGCCATACATGCGACTCTGGATGTCCTGTACAGAGCACATTCAGGGATTTTCAGAGATAACAATTGTTTGGAGGTTGGATCATTAACACTTCCTCCCCCTGGTCTTTAAAAATGTCTGATATTGACCGAATGATCAAATTTTGCACTCTTTTGGAAATATGACAATATTTTGTAATTATCATTTAAATCTGACTAATTTTCAAAGGGTTTGTCATGAATGAACATCTCAGGACAACTTTTGTGGGGTTTCAAAGCAGAATATGACATGCATCAGTTTCATACATGTCCACTGTAGTGGACACCAGGATATACTTATACTTATATAGACATAATAAGTGAATATGGAAAGAAATTGTATATCAATAGCTCTATGAAATATGAGATGTTATCCGAAAAGTTTATTACTCTCATTATTATGCTTCTTTTTTTTTCATTGCATGTTGCCCAAAGATCACATTAATATGCAAATTAGAGACAATTAATAGATACATTGATTATAATAGGAAACACAATATTTGGCCATGTTTATGCACATATTGTGTAAAATAAAACAGTGTATCAAAATCATTCTCTAATATCTTTCATACCATAGTTGAGAATCTTTGTAACATATACATGTTGTAGTAAAATATAAATATTGTCTAAATATCTTTTACCAACAAAAACATTGTTCTGGTAATACCTAAGGCATAT